CTTTGCATCACTTTGTGTTGACTCAGTTAAGGCCTTTATGATTACATTTTATTATTCAGTCAATCGACATTTAAAACTTTCTTTGAACTCTCAATCCAATGCGCAGTGGTTCACAGCCAATAAAAGAGTGTCGTCCTGACTCAGAGTTTTCATTTTGATGAAATGTATTATTTGATAATAACCCAGATTTCCGAGCCTTCATCATTAGGCACCACACATGCTCAGACCGTCTGCAGGGGGAGCTCCTCATCACTGACTAGGTCTTCCATGGTGAAACTACAACTAAGAAGGACTACAAAAAGCACAACTGAAACATGTCCCCGTGAAATCTGCTACTCATCAGCATGCAGGCGATTTAAACAGGTTCTTTTGTGAGAGGCTGCTTCACTCGTGGTGTATGAAGGAGAGAAACCAGAGCTCCTTCCTTCCTGCTGCTGTCACACTTAACAATCAACACTGCTTCAGTAGAGACAATTCACTCAACTATTCACTATTTAATATCAACATGTCCTTTGTGCAATAATGTAGATTCAGTTATATTGTGCTTTTTATCAGTTTAATAATCCATAGCTTGATTTGTTTTTTTACCGATGGTTCTTGTTATTGAGATCGAGAATTTGAGACAGTTTGCTGTATTTACTGTTCATTTTATGTTATAATCTTTTTTTTTTTTTTACTTATTTGCTACATGTTCGAAGTAAATAAATACATATGAAATGAAACGTAAGGATTGTTACTGTCTATTCATATTCATCAACATGAATCCCATTACTTTATGACTGTTGTTAAACCTGTGTAGTATAAGCATATCTTTGTTTTCATGGACGGCCGCATGGTGCGTTATGTTAATACATGGTATTGTGCGGCCTAATTATTTACTTATCTTTTATAAAGGAAGGTGCAGTGTTTCCTATGCTAAATTAGCTAATAAAGGAAGCATTGGAGCACCTTTCCTTTGCATTTAGAGAATTTGAACAGCTGTTATCACTCAGTTAGGACCCTTCCTAACCAAAAAGGACTATTCCACCGCAGCCAGAGTCTCATAGCAACAGATGAGAATCCCATTCCGACCAATCAGGAGCCTGGTGCATGTAGAGGAATCCCTGTTGTCCCTCCATTCAAACATGTAGGAGAAGAGAGGGTGGGGCCACGTGTGTATGTGTGGTACACAAAGCATCCTTCAGTGTAGTGTTGACTGTAAGAGATGGCTCCAACAACAGGCCATCTGCGGTTTGTTGTAAGGCAATATGTACACACAATGTTATCAAAAATCTCTGTTAGGAAATGAAAGCTTTTCTCACCCCCCTGCCAGACGTTGTGCTTTTGTACCATAGACAGCATTTTAAACATTGACATTGTGAGCTCTTGTTGTGTTTCAAAGTTTTATTTCTGTACTTTCAATGGGATTCACAATCATGCTACGTTCAGTGTACTTTGACAGAAACCACACCAAAGATTGTCGATGTTTAAGAATCCGAGGCTATAAATCACGTGAGTATACAAAGGATTGCTCTCTGCAAAAATAAAATGACTATTATCTATTCACCCTGGTTGAAAGCCTTAACCTCCACTGATTGATGAAGACCACCTGGCCTTTTAATCTTCCCACATAGCGTTTGCAGCATTATCCGAATGTTTTGTTGCCATGTTATTGAATTGTGGTTTACTGTGAGTCTAATCCAATATTTAGTCCAATATCTCTTATTTAATTTCTTATTTGTGCTAGTTTGTAGTATGCACACATGACTTTAATATAAGTTGTGGGATATAAGGTAATGGATATGAATTTGTGCTATATTTGCTGGCCATTCTGTATCTTTAGAAGGAGCTGAAGCAAAGGCTGACTTGGGTTTAAACATTAAAGTGAATAAATCAAATGTAATTTCCATTTGAAGCTGAATGTTTCGTTGAAAATGCTATACCATGCACTTTACTCGTACAGTTACTTCACTAACAAACACAATACATGTGGCAGGGACTCTTTCCCCATGCATAAATAATAGATTGAATGCCAAAACAGCATTCTGAGATACAGAAATCAGAAAAAAACGGCAATGTCATTATTTCAGGAAGAGCACTTGCACACATCAACTCCACGTGCTTTGGCTTGTCATTATTTTTTGTGTGACATTGTCTGTCTGAACAGCAGTTGTCTGCAATAGTAAAGGAATTACTTTTTGATGTGCTTCTCCATCACATTTTTCACACTTATACACAAAGCAGAAGAGTTTTCCTATGGTCTTTTCTGCCTGTGTCCAGTATTTGCATTAATCTGAAATTAAAAAAGCAATCAAAGAAGGCTACAAAAAAAGGAGTAGAAGGAAGGAAGGAAGGAAGGAAGGAGGGAAGGAAGGAGGGAAGGATGAAGGATCCTTCTTTAGTGGTTGTCACACTACCTGGGAACTCTTTGCTTGCTGTGCCCTTTCCCCCAGATGCCAGCTTGTAGTGGTGGCGGGGAGGAGCGGACAACTGGGTATTTGTACAACATTGGCATCAGTTTCTGTGAAAAAGATATCATCACTACACCTTGTAAAGTTATAGTGAAAAAATGTATTTCAGAGGCATAAGAGCCAAGTGCTGCTAGATTATCTTCAACAATAATCTGAAAAATCCAGTTTGACTCAACATTCCATCGCAACAAAAATGTAAACCCATTGACAACGCAATGAAGTGTGTGCTCTTACATGAATGTAAAACAATGTAAATCTAAATTGATGAACTCATGATATTTTTTTTAGTAAGTTTTGTGTTGATTGTGCTCAAACTTGCAATGGCAGCCTACCTAATATGACAACATTTTACATTTAGAGTGTATGTACTTCCTTTGGAAATAACACTCTTGACTAGATGACACGGCCTATGGCTGCCTGTCAGAGGTCAGGGGCCTTTAGTGAAATATAGCCCTTGGGTGATATATTTAATCCTGCTGGGGCAACTTCCCCGTTTTTTGAGTCCGCTCTGGGAGTTCCTGAGTAGGGGGAGTTGGCCGGACAGGGGAGGTGTGCGTGTGGAGGCCCAGATAGGGCCAGCGTAACCTTTCCTCCAGATTCCACAACTGAGTTGAAGCGGCCTGCCCCACTTATATCACAAACAGGCTGCTGTGCTTAGGCCCGCACGTTGCCTGTCATGCCGGCATGCTAACATGTTTTCCTCGTAACTCCTCCCTCTCCCACTCTCTTCTCACTAACTGCTGGCACTGCAGCTACACTGCCACAGTGCCAAGCCCTCGTTGCTGCCTTAGGTCATGCTTATGTGAGTCATACTGAGGCACGGCCTCCGTTAGCAGCCAGGCGCTGCCAGGGCCAGGCTAACACACCTGCTATACTACCTTCTGCAGCAAGCAAGTTGCAAACAAACACTAATTGACCAATTTTATGCCAGCTGTGAAAGTGAGGTCATATGAGTTTTGTTTATACATAGAAGCAGGGAATATCAGAAACAGAATATGAGTCTGATGCTCATAAAAATGACACTGGGTCTACTATTGTTTTTACCAAAGGTAAATTTATATTGTTTTTACCAATTGGTAATATTTACACATTCTTGTGGAGCCTTTTTTTACATCAGGGCTTCCAGAAATTCATTAGGACTTCTGACACAGTTTCTCTTTGTCAAATTGCAGTTGGTAATATAACAGCATGTAGGTCAAGCCCAATTTGAGTTTGACATGTGCTTGTGGGAATGATCTCATAGAAATTGTCAGACAGTAGGCCACAGGAAAAACAGCCCAACAAACATTACCTTTACATAAAGTGTAAAGAATATATTTACTAACAGGAGAAAAAAGCATAATATCCTTTTTGTGTAGTGCATCTGTACACGTGAAGTCCCATGATAATTAATTTGTCTGCAAATGTAACAGTAATAATATAAATCAAAAATCCAATATAGTCCACACTTATATAAGGGGTCAATGAGGTTGGCTCCACCCCAGAATCCCTTGCTTAAAGACTGGTTACACCCACAGACAAAACAAGTGTGGAAATCATGTGAAATCATGCCATGAATAGGGTATAGAAGTTAGGTATTTGCAAAATGTATCATTTATAATTAGTGGCCTCTCCTGGCTGACCTGATTTGCTGCAAAAACACATTGAAACATATACTTTTTATGACATTGATACATTATTACACTGATAACATGGTTATGGGCTACAGTGATAACATGGATAAAAGAAATAAATTAACTCACTATTAAGCTTAGTGAGTATGTGTTTGTGCAATATGTTCATTTAAGCACTTGTTTATCTGCTTTTCCTGTGAGAAAGCTGCACAAACAGCTCAGAAAAACAAGACAGAAACTCACGCTTCAACTGGTGTTGCATTCAGGTATTGTGGGAAACGTGGGACAAATAACTCTCGCCTTACCCTTTCGCTTTCAAGTGGACAGCAGAGCTTGTTTTTTTCCGCTGGCAAGTAGAAGTTATATGCAATCAAGACAAGCAGAATATATCAATTTCTAATACTCTAAAATATATCCTGTGTTTATAAAGTGTTATTGTCAACCTAGCCTTATTAATATAGAAAAAGAGATTCGGTATCAATTATTTTTTACTTAACTGCCCTGTAGTCCTGGCGCTTTAGCTATATTTGCAATTTATCTTTGTCAAAACATATCAATAACAATTATGCTCAGCGATTATCTCCGTTAACGAAACAATTTTCTTTCCTGGGTGATTTCTAAGATGTTATTCCTACACCCCCTGAATGCAGCATAGACTGGATCGACCTTTCGCCTATTTAGTGGATGGCAGTTCATCGGGTTTACACTGACACTGCTGACTCTCACAGACACGCCCACCAACGGCCACGCACCCTATTTCCTCCAACCGTCCGGCGAGCACGCACTGTTCACGCGCTCCCTGCTCTCCCATTGGCTGAAGCTCCGCACACACTCCATTGTGATTGGCTCAGTGTTGCCACCCGCCGGTGCGTGTTGTGAGTTTTGTTTTCCTTTTTTTTTTCTCCCCCCCGTGTTTTACACACACAGCTGAGAGAAAAGGGAGTCAGTCAGAGAAAAAAGCGACCTCAACCCTACCCCGGTACAGGCAGCAGCTCTGGCAACCGCCGTCTCTTTGTTCTGTTCGGGCTCTGACAACCACAAAGTGATATTTAGACATTGTATTCCTCAATGCCATCGCGAAAATATACAGAAATGGACTCAAACGAGGTAAGATTTTTTTATTTTTAATACTGTTTACGTTACTTCAATTTGGGCGCGACATTCATTTTTGCCGTCCAGTAACATTCACTTGTTTACAGATTTTATATTTCAGTATTAAAGCTATATCGTAAGATAATTCAACATATTTAGCGTTAAACAATATCATTAATATTAGTCAAGTCAGGGTCGCAGCGGAGCCAAATCAACCATGTTACATTTAAATCTAATAATTTAAAAGATAGCTAATTACCTACACGTATTTATGGTCATCTCTTAATTTAAACAAGTTACATGCCATTGTTGACAAATGATCAAATCTGGTTTGTGTGTTTGTGGAGGATCAGTAATATGTGTGCATTAAAGTTATAACGTAATTAGCCGATGTTACTTCCTGATGCAAACCCGATTTATGGGGGATTTCACTTCACTCGTCTCTGCAGGACGTCACTGTTTGGTCTATATTTGGCGATGGGAGGTGTCCTGGCTGTGAGCTAGAGGCAGTCCATGCTGGGCTGGGGTGTAGTCACCAACCCCCCCCCTCTCTGCATCGTGCAGTTTGAATGGGAACTTTAGATTGAGGAACAGTGACAGAGCAGATGATGACTGGAAATAGATGTTTTTTCCTCCATTCCGCTCAATAGAATAGAAAGCTCACATTTGTTTGCATGTGTGCCACCATCACTAAGTTTATTTATTGTTCCTTTTCAGGCTGAGTATATGGATCCTTGCGGGTCCTATGCAAAGAGAAGGAGGCATGACAGTGAACAGTCTGTCCCTAGTGGAACCTGTGGCCTGGAGTACACCGACCTGGAGGCAGCTGAAGCGCTGATGTGCATGAGCTCTTGGGGCCGGGGCCGCTTCCTCGGCAGCCGGCCGAGCCCCTGCAAGCCCAGGCCCCTCACCCCGGCTTCGGACTCCTGTGACTCCCTCATGCCGTCAGAACTTCCAGAGCCCCCGAAGGACTTTGTGTCCCTCTCCTCCCTGGTGAGTGACTTCTCATGCTGCACGGGTGTCAAACTATTGAATAATATGTAGGTTAGATTTGCACCATCAAGTTCTGCCCCCCCTTAATAACAGCAGACACTGACAAGGTTCCCTTGATGTGAATGTGGAAAGATACGTGTGGGATCATGGTTTATTATGTGAGACCCGGTCAGGTGAGAGGTGCTGCAGCAGGAAACGTCATGATACTGTAAGGTGCTCTGACCTTCAGACAGAGTGTCTCCTCTCAGAGTCATAAAAATCACAGTTTATAGCTCTTTATAACTCAGAGTGATCATTAGTCTTGTGTGTACCTGTTTGTCTTGTCTCTGCAACCACTTTCCCCTGTACATCTTATTACCATGTCATCAGGGTACACTGGTTAAACCTTCTAATGTTCTCCCCTCCCTTCTCTTTTCCAGTGTATGACTCCCCCTCATAGCCCCAGCTTCGTTGAGGCATCCGGCACAGCGCTCCAGTCAAGCTCTGGCCTGGCTGTGTCCGGGCTCCATCAACCTGTCCTGGCACCCATTGCTGAAAAGACGGCCTCCATCCCTCCTCTGCCACAGCCCTGCAGAGCCATGGCGACCAGCGTCATCCGCCACACCGCAGACGGCACCCACTGCCAACACCGCATTCCAGTGGCCCCCAATCCAAAGAAAACCGGAGAAACAGTAACGGCTGCAACGGTCTGCCTGCAGCAGCAGCAGCAGCAGCAGCAGCGTATTACAAAGACTGAGATAACCACACCTCCATCTACTCCTCTCACATCCGCATTGTTCGCCCCAAGAACAGAGCAGCACGCCAGTCCCTCAAACCTCTATTTGAACAGTGTCTCCACCCCCACTTCTGTCAATATGCGACCACAAAGCAGCCCTCCGACTGCCTCTGCTCTCGCAACCCTGTCCCCGCCTTCAGTCCCCAGCCCTCAAATCATCTGCCAGATGTTCCCCGTCAGCAGCCAATCGGGTATAATCTCCGCCTTCATCCCCGGTGCGGTTCAGACTTCCAATACTGGGATTCGGACCGCCGCCACACCCATCCTCCCCCAGCCCGCCTTGGCTAACGCCGTCCCCGTCCAGCAGTCCCTCATCATGGGCTCAGCAATGCCCCAGGGCACGGTGATGCTGGTTCTCCCTCAATCCTCTATCTCTCAGGCCCCTCACTGCCCTCAGACGGTCATGACTCTGGGCAACACCAAGCTGCTACCTCTGGCCCCGGCCCCTGTGTATGTGCCAGCGGGGCCCAGCTGCGGTATAACGGCAACAAAGATGGACTTTTCCCGCAGGAGAAACTATGTCTGCACCTTCCCGGGCTGCAGGAAGACGTATTTTAAGAGCTCACACCTCAAGGCTCACTTGAGAACACACACAGGTGAGGGTTAACTGCATACACAAGTGTTCGGTTTGGTTGATACTCGTGAGGATGTGGGAAAGAATTGGGACCACGGATGAGTGTTGCATCCTGTTTGTAAAACATTCCTTTCTTGGCCTTGTTATTCTCGATGAGATGAAAGTGAGTTCATTGTTATATTTCTTATGACTGCAATCTGACTCACTTGCCGACTCCCTGCTCTCCCCGTCTCCCTCCCTTAGGTGAGAAGCCTTTCAGCTGCAGCTGGGACGGCTGTGAAAAGAGGTTCGCCCGCTCCGACGAGCTCTCCCGTCACCGGCGGACGCATACGGGTGAGAAAAAATTTGTGTGTCCCGTGTGCGACCGGCGATTCATGCGCAGTGATCACCTCACCAAACACGCCCGTCGCCACATGACCACGAAGAAGATGCCCTCCTGGCAGGCCGATGTCCGGAACCTGAACAAAATGGCCGCTGGCAAAGCACCTCCCTCAAAACCCTGCCTGGCCACACTAAGCATGCTGGTACCTGCCGGCTCAAAGTAGACAATGAACACTGCCCTTTTACCCAAGATACCACAGGGACACAGGGATCAGCCAAGCACACGCGGCTGCTGCTATGTTACTCATGGGAATGACAGAAAAACATGCACTGGACTCTTTTATTCCTCTCTACTGCTCATTTGTACATGTATTTTTCTTTAAAGGATTCTTTTGTTTACTTTGATATATTTGATAATATCAATGCACTCTTGCCAAAGCCTTTGTATGAAGTTTGTCTTGTACATTTCACCCTCCACCCCTCCTCCAACACTTTCTCTTTGTTTGTGTTGATACTGATATATATATATAATATATATGTCTAGGAGTGTATTGTTTGTTGTACTATGAAATGCATTTATTTGTCATTTTTGGAAAACATGCAAAGATGATATGAATATTAACCATCAGTACTATGATTATACCTTGATTATATCTCCCTGTCTAACTTTTCATATTATTTAATATGTATTTGTAATAAAAAAAAGATTAAGTGAGTCATTTCTTTGTGCTTTTTTTTACTTTTCTGATGTCGTATCCGGAAAAACCAAGTGTGGGATCTCGGTATAGTCAGCCCACATCCTGTGTGCGTCACACTGTGACTCCCCCTTCTACCGCCCTCTTTTGGTCTACTGGCTGACTGAAATTCAGTGTTATAAAAGCTCTTTGGTGAGACCATTTAAGGACATTGTGTCCCATTCATTAGCGCAGAGCCAGATTGTTGATGAGTCAGCAGACAACACACGTTTGTTTGCCTTGTTTTAGAGTTCATTAACTGATCACTTGACCCCATCCAGCACTGTCACATGAGGACAAGGAGGTGGTGGGGCTGTGGGACTCTTGCATAATAAACCACGTTTTATTCAGTGAAAAGTCTCTTACCAGTGTGGTATCGTTTGGCAAGCATCTCTTGTTTGTGTGCTTAGTGGTTACAAGTCCAAGTTCTTAGTAATGGCATATGCACTCGTTCTTAGTTCTCAGGTTCCCTCCAACAACAGGCTGATACAAATTTATTTTTTTATACATATTTGTAAGTAAAATCTTATTATAGATTATAAAGGCACAGAATAGTGCAGCAGTTAGAATGTAGGAATAAACTATAATATATAACACTGTGGTAGACAGGTGTACATTCATAGTTTAATGTATGGATTGTAATGTAAACAGGTTGTGCAGTAATGTAGTAAATGTATATATATACGAAATTAACAAATTATAGGAGAAAGATGTGCTTGTTCATAGAGTCTAGAGACCATCTATGGTCATAAATTATTACCAAAGAAGACGTTTTCAGCTGGAGAAATTGGGAAGATGCAAGTGGAAAATTTGTTATGTAAACAATAAAAATAAACCCGTTAAGATGCTGCGGGACCACAGAGTGGTTCAGTGTGCTGCATCCATCCTCTCTCTCTCTCCTACACATTCATTATCAATGGTCCTGCACCCAGTTACAGCACAGCCCTTCCAATCAGACAGTGAGAAATATGAACTGTTGGGGGTGCGACCAATCACTTCTCTTTCCTGCATATCCGCCCCTTTGCCTTACTGACCGATTTACGCACTGGCTCTCTTCCACTTGAGCAGTGATCTACAGCGACATCTGGTGGCCAAATCATGTTATTTCACTATCTACACAAGAGCATCCTAGGAAAGTTAGAGAAGTTTTTTTTTTTTTACTGGATTCAACTTTTATTTTGAACTAAATTATACAGTTTTTCAAATTATTCTGATTATATTTATTCAGTTATACTTTTTTTCATTCATTTATCAAATCTGTCGGATCTAAGCAAGGCAAAAAAATAGTTTCACCCGGAAGTGTTTCCTTGTTGCACCAAAGACTTTCATGTTGCTATGGTTACATCAACACAACTAGGACCGTTTGCTGGAGGTCTAAAACTAGGTAAACACACGGACATCGACTTAAAACTACACCAAATTCTGCATTTTTCCCACGGTCAGCTCGTACCACTTTTTATTATTATTATTAATATTAATTAGCTCACTTCCGGACTTATTTCTTGGACGTTTAGCTCACGAAAGTTGTGTTTCCGCCAACTTCATCCGCCTCAGTAACTTTATTTCCTCTCGTAATCATCAGTATGGAGGTTGGAGACAAGCTGAAAGAACTAAACATGACAGGAGATGAAATTGACAGACTGACAAGAGCGCTTAAAGAAGAGAAATTCGGGGAAATGCTGCGCAATTACGCACATGAATTATCGGACCCTGAGAATAAGACAAGGTACGAAGAGGAGATCAAACTTTTGGAGAAGGAGAGAGGAAACACGATTGAGTTTATCCACCCGAAACCGTTTCGGTCTCTCAGGACGAGTGTGAACGGCAAGCAGAAGTGTTTCATCAATATCTGCGCCAGTGAAAAGGTTGGAAAGCCTGAATGTAAATGCGGGGTGTCGGAGGATGGCCGCAGAGGACAGTGCTGGTCCCTGCCTCACAGTCTGCACCCAGGGAGACAAGACACAGACCCAAAAGGGAACAAGATCATGATCTATGATGTTATCTTCCACCCTGACACCGTCCACATTGCAAGCAAAAACAAGAGATTCATGGACACGGTGGACAGCACAGCCATCCAGGGAATCCAGGATGCTTTCAAAGTGACTCTGGATAAAAACAATGTGAGGGAGATGAGTACTAAATACAAGGGTGCCCCTCAGCCTTGTGTCATCCGAAAACCCATACCTGGTTACAAATCCAAGGAGCCCTCAGAGGTGCCGGACCCTCTTGCATTCCCATACCCAGATGAAAAAAGACCTACTGCGTCCCTGCAAATGAAGCCCACAGAATCGCCTGCAACACAAAACAGCGGTGATGCTGAACCTAAAAGCTACAGCATTCAGCCTGAGAAAGTCAGAGAGCCTACCAAGCCAAACTACACAGTCAAATATCGATCTTTTGTGGATCTACAGGACTTCAGATGCTCCAGAGACTCTGCCCAAAGCCCCAGGCCCAAAGAGATAGTGGTTACCATCGCCGTGCCACTTCTGAAGGCGGCCTCAGACGCCAGCCTCGAGGTGAAAGAGAGACAGCTGCTGCTGGCATCCAAGAAACCAGCCTACAGACTGGAGCTGCCCTTAGCCTACCCTGTGGATGAAGACAAAGGAGAGGCCAAGTTCAACAAACAGAGAGGACAGCTTACAGTCACACTGTCTGTTCTTCCTTCTGATGAAGCTTTTGATTTATCCGGAGGGTCTGCTCAGACTGGTGTTAGTGATGATGAGATAGAGGAGGAGAAACGAGAGGTGGACGAAGAGGAGCGGGAGGAGGAGGAGAGGGAAAGCAAGAAAAGTGAGGAGGAGCAAATAGCTGTTGAGGAGGATTTTAGGCAGCAGACAAGGGTAGAGAAAGTTGAAAAAGAGGGTGAAACTGGTCATGAGAAAGGAGAGGAGCAGATGAGGGCAGACAATGAAGGTGTAGTGGGTGAGAAGGAAACATGGGAAGGAGAAAATGGTGACGAAGAAGAGAAAATTGGTTTGGGGGAGGAGGCAAAATGGGAAAAGCAGAATGGAAAAGGCCAAGAAGGTGTGGATGAGATATTGAAAAAGCAGAAAAAGGAAAATGAAACAGAGGTTGGAAAGTCTAACTTACAGAAAAGGCAGCAACTTGAAGACAACGAGGACTCTGGTCTAAGTTTTCAGTGGGATACTGTCGGTGTTTCATTGCCTGATCATAACAGGCTTGTGGCCACACCTGAAACAGATAACCAGCTTGTTTTAATCCCTGCTGAACATTTAAGCTGCGAAGAAAAAGAGGGAGAAGTCCATCTGAACTCTTGTTCGGAGTCACCATCCGAAATGAAGACTTCAGACATCAAAGAGGAGACGGTGAGCTATATCCTAAAAAAATGGATAAACTGTGTATACGAGAAGGTGAACGTGTGCGGTCAAGCTAAGCCGTTTGTGTTTTTCCTTTGTAGGCGGAAACAGACGCTGCATTTCTAAATCACAGATCGAGTGAGGAATCCCAAACTTCCAGATCTGCTGAACCTCATAGCCAGAACAACACAAAGGACTTCTCAGACGGGGTCACAGAGGAACCGGCCGTGGGTTCAGTAAAGCAGGTGCAGAGGGAGAATATCGACCAAGATGACCGGCCAACGGTGCAAATCTTCCACAAACCAGAGCACGACACCAAGCCACCACCTGTGTTTTTAAGGGAAATTGATAAAGATGGAAATGAAAAGATCATCAGTGACCATTCCACCTCTGCTGGGTTCATCTTCCAAAACTCCCTGATGTATGAGCTGGACTGAGGCTTCAGAGGTTGGGAAGTGGCTTTCTTGTATTACAGCAGCTTTGAATGCAAGTTATGTTGTTAAATACTACAATATTAAATGTTCATATTCTCAAAACCTGTCACTTCATTAAAACACATGACACATAAATCATTTAAATGTCTCTGAATAAACCACTTAGGACAACAATGTGAATACTTTGATTTTATTGCATTTTTCACATGAATATAAAAATTGTGGGTCATTAGCACAGTAAAAACCAACTCCCTTTAGCCAACGCTCACGGACCCTGAGGCACTGTGTTCAGGAAGAAACTCAAATGAATCTAATTTCTTTATTCCTGCCTTGTAGAAGTAGGTCAGTAGCCTGCAGTCTGCTCTCAGAGGCAGGAAAGACGATGTGTGACGTTCACCGGCAGCAATGGCAAACTGTCCGTGTGGCTGCCCGCTATCATTCTATAAATTCAGTGTTATTCAGTTACAGATGGAGCAGTTAAGTAAGGGAGTGCAATATAAGCTGAGTGTGAGTGTAAAACAGGCTGCTTCAAGCACTTTTAAAGCCTAATGGAGTCAATATCCTCCTTTCATTTAAAGGCGTTACCAGACAACTGTATCCTCCAACAGTATCTCTGAACTTGCAAATCTGTTGCTAAATCCACCGCAATTTCCAGCAGTCGGTCAGTTTCCTGTCAAACAAAAAGAGTTTGTTCTTCCTCATCTGATTCCTCTCTGGAGCGAGTTATCTAAAAACTCGGAGTAGCAGGAGAGGGAGCAGTAGTGCTGCTGCACCGGAGCGTCCGTGCCCCCCATGTCGTCCACCAGGACGACCGTGTGAGAGACTTGGTGCAGGTTCATGCTGACCGCAGTCTTGATGTAGAAATTGATGCAGACACGGCCGCAGTCGCACAGCTTGGCTACTTCGAGGTCCCGACACAAGTGGGCAGGGATGAGGTGAGGTCCGTACGGTAACCTGCGAGGTGAATCAGAGAGGATACAATTGGGAGGCTGCTGTAAGCACCACAGTGAAGATACAGTACGGTATACCGGGCGTGTTTAAGTCTAACCTGAGGTTGGCCACGGCTCTGGAAGCCATCTCTTGAAGAGGAAGTGGGAACGTGAGTTTCATCGTGTGGTCAAGAGGGTTCGGTTGGACAAACGGATTCCCAAACAGGTCCAGGTTCTCCAGACTGAGCTTACGGAAGTCAGAGGGCAACATGGTTAGCTGGTTGTGCGCCGCCGACAGGAACCTCAGCTTGGAGAGTCGGCCCACGTGGAACGGCAAACAGACGAGCTTGTTGTCGTCCAGCTTGAGGTTCACTAGTTCTTTGAGCTGGCAGAACTGAGCCGGGAGGGACTGCAGTCGATTCTGGCTGAGGTCCAGGAGCTGGAGGGTCCGCTGCAGGGTGGACAGGCAGAGGGCCTCGCTGAAGGCCTCCAGGTGGTTGTTGTGGAGGACGAGCTCGGAGAGGCAGCCCAGGTCCCCGATGGTGGCAGGGAGCTTCTTGATGTGGTTGTTGCTGAGGTCTAGCTTGCGGAGAGCTGAAAAAAACAAACCAAAGAAAAACAACACAACTTAATCCAGCTATGTAGTACTGCGCAAAGCATTGTATGAAGTTAAACTCATTCTACTGTACCTTTGAGAGACAGCATCCGCATGTCCACCCGGGACAGTTTGCAGTAGGAGACCTGCAGCTGCTCCAGAGAGTAGGGGAAGCAGGAGGTGAGGGGATAGTCCTTCTTGGAAACGATGGTGAGCTTCTTCTTGGGTTGCTCTACGTCTCTGGCGCGAACAGGAGTGAGCGTGGAGAGAGGAAGGCTACTCGCGTCACTTCCTCTGTCGGCCAAACGAGCCGCCGAGAGGAAGTTCTTCAAGCTGTTCGCATCAGCCTGCAAATAAATGAATAGATGAAGACACAGGTGGATTAATGGATGGTGAATACTTGTACAATGCAGTCCAAAATAATAGGCCGTCAACCAAAAAAACACCCAAAGACATATCAGGGTGTTCATCTAAATGTATGGTCAATTTATTTAGGATTTTAAAAATGGTGGGCCTGTAGGTTGATGCAGTCAAAACAACCGAATCTGTCTAGTTGGATAAACGAGTAGGTGGAGTCTTGTGACACAGTACTCACTTATAAACACTGTAGTACTCAGACTGTGTTTAGCTGGAAGTCGTACCTTGCTCAAACAAATGTCAACAGCAGGTTCCTTTAATCTCACGGTGGCCTTGCCTTCCTCCACAAACCAGGTGAAGAACTTCTCTATGTTGTCTTTCAGCTGCAAGAGAAAGTTGGCAAAATGTCAGTGATGGAAAAATACATGACACAACAGGGTGTGTACGCGTTACCATTCAACCAGGAGCGATTCACGAACTCAACTAGTGTAGACGGGAATACCGAAAGCTTTTGAACCTTTTGAACCCTTTCCTCAACATGCAGGTGTATATTAGGCGTTTTTAAATCAGAAGCTCCTGAAGAGCACCTGAAGGCAGCATTAGCGAACATGAACACTATACGCTGAGGGTTTCAAATCGTCTAGGTCTTTCTGGCAATGATGCATAATAAATAAAGGAATAAAAGTAAATATATTAAGTGGCATGGGTTTGAGTTAACTGAATACCAAAAACACAGTCAAAGTTGCTGGAATGTGTTGCTTATGCAATGTTTAATACTGTCATTTCAAAAAGTTACTGTAGAAACCTGACAAACAACATGACATGAAGATCATTTACTGTCTTATTAAACTGTACTTATCGACAAAGTATGTACATGCTTTGTCGATAACGTGACCTGTACGCTGGATGTACCATGTTGCGTGTGTTAAATTACATTTAACGAATGTTTATTTAGCCTTTTTGCATCCAGATATTACATTTTTTTCAAATGATAGTTTACGGAGCCAAACAACAACAACAACAGTATCAACAAGATGCATCAACTCTTGTCTATAAGACTTGTGAATAATAAATGTAAAATAAACTGTAATATACAGTCAAATTCAGCCATTCCTATTTTTTTTTACTTTTAAAAGCCCCTTTTTGTAACTGTGTTGATGAGCTTACTCTTTTTAGACTTTAGCCATGAAATGCTCTTTGAGTGATGAATAAAATTCCCTAAACTAAATCTGAATTCAATCAACATAAAGGGGCACACACCCAGGGACGCAAGTCCAGCTTCAGCGACAGTACAGTACAAACAACAACAACAACAACAACAACAGACCCTGACCTTGTACTTTGAGCCTGCTCTGTCTTTAGCGGTGCAGATCATCATGTAGATGTTGTTGCGTTGATTCGTCTTGTCCGCATGCTTCCCGATGGACAGCACCGCTCTCGTGCCCTTCCCTCGACTTTTCATCCCAAACGAGGGAAGCATCCGGTTCACCACCTCGACATCACACTGCAGCTTCATCACAACCGAATACAAAACAAAAACACAAACTCTTGATGTCCCGGCTTAAGGCCGAGTCAGAGTTAAACTACGGGTTTAAATGCATACCAGAGGAAGAGAAAAAGAAACTTCCGCGGAAAAGCGTCCTGGAGCTCCCGGGGCACAACACACACGTTCGTCCCCGTCATGGATGTCAACAAGCGGACCGGTGGTCTCCACCGAGCCGCAGCGGCATCTGACCGGCTGTCGAACACACCACACACAGCCGGTATAGCAAGTCTTCAGTGGGCAACCGCGGTGAGTTTGACGGTACCTGGACACATTGTAAAAGGCCCCGGATAGTTCTCTGTTCTCGGTGAGGTAGCTGTCGTTAGCATGATATCGCGCGCGCGTGGGAAGTGACGTCATGGAAGCGCTCGGGGCCCTGGCGCGCGTTTAGCAGGAGAGGGGCAGACCCTACTTCCATAGTCGGACAACCGTTTTTCTCGAAGTACTTTTTTAATAAACAATAAATAAAACGTGACACCACTGGTGGGAAGTACATTTATTCGAGGACTGTACGGTTCTGAATAACAGAATAATAATATACACTATTGCGCAATGGGCCATTCTGCATAATGAGTTGCCAACTTTTACTTTTGGTACTTCAAGCAGCTATATGTTGATGCTAATATACTGAAAGTCACATTTTGAATGCAGGACTTTCACTTGGAACAAAGTATTTCCATAGTGTTGCATTACTACTTCTGAGGTCTGAGTACTTCTTCCACCACTGGGTTACGTGGTAGTTTGTTTGACAAAAATATAAACATGTATAAAATACTATTTAATAATCTCCATTACAGTCACAGTTTTTTCTAATCATAAAGCAACTGACAGAGGTTTGACAAAAACTCCAAAAAAGGTCCACTGACTAGCTTTTTTCTGGGGCTTTTCAACTGTCCTGCTATCCCTCGACTGTTCTATTGCACGTTACTCACTGAAGTTTCTACAACTGGGCAAAAACTCCATCTGCTGAGGAAAACTGAGAAGCTATTGAATTGATTTGTCTTTCTTTTTTGTCAAAGTACTGTTGAATGTACCCATTAAAAAATATATACATTTTTAATATAAATAAATCAATGCAGTTCTTAGCAATAGTGGCATCTAGTGTTCAGCAGAAAGAAAGACCAGAGAGATATCGTTGTATGTATTTGGCAGTTACTTTGTAGATTCAGATTTTCAATATGAATCACACGGTCATCTTATAAACATGATGCATTGTTATAGATTGAACTTCTCCAACAACAGCATTACAATGCTACATACTCATTCATACATCGGTGATAATAATCCCGAGAAGTAATATAACATAATATGTACTTTTACTTGTAATGGAGTGTTTTTGAAGTATTGCTTTTATCATAGTAAAAGTATAGTATTGCTTCTATCTTAGATGGCAACAACATTCTGCATTTACACTTTTGCTTGCATAAATGGTATATTTGTACTAACCACACTTGGTCTGGCAACCACAAAGGATGTTTATTGGTTGGAGTCATTGGAAGTCCGTGTAGTCATTCCAGTGCTTCTTTCCTTCTAGTTGTACTTGAGGAACCAGTGAGCTGAGAGTATCTGTCACCTCAGATCAACATGATCACAGGACAAACTTATCTCTCTTCTTCTTTTTCTTTTTATTCATCAGCGCACACACAACAGGGACTGTTTACATTTGTTTGTGACTTTAAATTAAAATATAGAAATGTGCAACAGTGATATGATTCAATGTATGATTTAATCAACACATTTGAGTGAATAAAAACGCCACGTTATTCCCTTCAATCTGACATGGTACAAGTCTACAAAAATAATTTGTCAGGACTGCTTTTACTGCTTACATTTTGACATTCAGTTCATGTTCCTACTCATCAATAAAAGCTTTGTGGTGTTGAATAAAAGTCTTTGGAAAAAACAAAAAAAACAGAAAAAATGTCTTTGGTTTCACTATAGATCAACTAAAAGACAAAAGCTTATGGTAATGACATGCAACTTTTCTTTTTACTTTTTACTTGTATTATTCTCACCTCTAAGTGGCACAATCCTCACACGTATAATAACATATACAAGGTCAATGTAAGAACCGGTGAAGTTTTGTATCCTGTGATTTTTGAGAAATGTGAGTGATGAAAACAGTAGGATGCTGATGTCATGCAGTTTTCATGTCTCAGTGGCATGTATGCACAATTTAATCAGATTATTATTGTCATTATACTCACTGCAGCATGTGCAATTCAACCAGAGGACTGTGTTAAAAAATAGAAGTGACTATTACTTCACTTACATTGGAATTTTCTGAAAGAGCGCCATACATCTTCATTAATGTCATTCTGTCTATGGAGCAAACAGTGACCAACATCATCCATCATTACTGTTTTGAATCTTATCTTGACTCATCAATAAGTGTCTCCATGTCCCTCAGAGATCCGTCTCCACACAGGACGACCCTCTGCGTATGTAATATCGCCTCACATCCCTCCCGTCCTCGCCGCCACGGCCCTCAGACCGATGCACAATGAGCACTGGGAAGAACCGGGCGTCCCTATAAGTCGGTGGACTATCGCTGAGGGCCAGCCGGCTGGAGTCGGACCGGCAGCACTGCTCGTCGGTGCAGCAGGGGTCAGTCAGGTTGCTGCTGTGGCTCCTCCACAGAGACACGGTGCGATGGGAGCCGTACATGCGGCAGAGAGAGAATCGGGACGTGTCCGAGGAGGGGTGCGAGTGGAGCAGCGCTCCCCGGCAGGAGAAGATGGAGGAGCAGCTGGAGCTGGCGATGGTCCTCCTCCTGCCTCCTCCGTCACCTCGTCCGTTCAGCTCCTCGCATTGCTCGCAGTCCTCCTGGCTTTGCAGAGCGCCGTAACTCTGAGCAGTCTGGCTGCTGTCCAGAAGGAAGCAGTTTGAGGACGAGGTGCCTTGTAATGAGTTAGAGTCTGCTGTGCTCATGTTTATCAGCATGGCCTCTGAGTAGCTGGGAATCACCTGACGGTTACAGCGTATGTGCCACTCCATCTCAGTGCTGTCCAGCGTGTCTACTCTGGGAATACCACAACCAGTACTATTCCCCAGAGGCCTGTCTTCATCTAGAGGAGAGGGGCTGTACTCTAGCCCAAATAGTTTCTCTATGCGGTAGTGCACATAGGCAGTGCGGTACTCTGTCAGCACTCTCAGAGGCCAGGACAACATCAGCAGAGCTGCCAGCCAGAAGGCAACCTGGGAAGTGTACCAAGGCATCCTATCTGGATCTACGTAGGCTATTAGGTTTTCTCCGAAGTCCACATTCTTCAGCTGCATCCCCTCCCTGGCCTCCATGTAATCGTCCAAACCCTCAATTTCAGAGAAGAACCTGGCTCTCTGGTTGAGGTAATCATTTTCTGGACCGGCCTCTGTGAAGCTGAAACATTTGGTGAAGCGCAGGCGAGTTGCCGGGCGTCCCTCCAAGCCTCTGAGGTCACGCGATACATCTTTCATCCCAGAGTGGCTGTAGTCAAACTCGCCCTCGGCGACGTGGGTGTTCACTCTCTCGTGGTACACCTGCATGGTGGTGTACGCGTCCCCGTTGCGGTATCGGGTGACTTGCCGAGTCCGTCGCACAAAGTGGTAGCTGATGGCCTTCCACCATATGCAAGGTTGGGCCTCCCTCATCTGCTGCACGCGCTCATACACACTGTCCACGTCTGCTTTGCTCTGCAGCTCGCTCCTGGCTCTGCAGTGCCAGCACTCCACCATGTATAAGGCGTAGAGAATGAGCAGGAAGGCCAGAGGGATGTAGATGTAGCCGTCAGAGCAGGGGCTGTCGTGGTAGATCATTGAGTGTCCTCCAACGCTCATCCCAGAGGCCCCCCGCAGGGAGGAGGTGAAGGAGGCCGTGAAGGAGGAGGTTAGGGCGGAGTTGAAGCTGATTTTGGTAACCCGGGTCAGCTGACACCAGGCCACCGCGCCCAGGCAGCTGTACATGAGCAGAGAGAGCAGCAGGCAGCGCCAATGGGACTCCCGGCAGATGCAAGCACCCAGGGACTGCTTCACTGGACGCTGCTGCAGAGAGAGAGAGAGAGTAATGAGAAAAAGATACTTAAAGCAATGAGGCTCTGAAACCTGGCAGTGACATACAGTAGAAATGCAAATGAACGTGGCTCCACTTTGGACTGCCAAGCTTTCCCATACCTAAGCACAAAGTAAATCAAACTAAAGAAAGCTCACAGGAATTCAATTAAAGCACCCAGTGTCCCTGCAGGCTGTGCCTCAAAGCAGACATATATCAATATTTATAATATTAATATATAACATATATAAATGTTAGCTGAGATGTTTTCACACAACTTTCTCTGAAATTAATTAAATTTATATTGCACATGGGCTAATGTACTAGCTGGTAAAGTTGTCACATTAATATCACACTTATAATAGCACGACAACATTCCTAAAAACATCGGAGATTTAAATCCATTGTAGAAATGGAGCCTGACCGACCAACACACATGTTTCTGTTTCAATTTATTGTTACTTATAAGCTTATTTTTTAATAGAGCCTCAAAGGCACCTTGGACAGAAATGATGCTCTAGCTTCGGAATAAATAACAGAAAATGAAAAATAAATTAAACATTTACCTCATTCATCAAGGAAAAACTCCAAATATTTCTGGTTCCAAATGTAAGGATTCATTGCTTTTCCCTGTTTAATGTTTTTTTATGAAATATCTTTAAGTTTTGGACTGTTGGTAAAAAATAAACAAGACATTTCAAGACATTTTCTTGGACTCTGGGAACTTTCACTACTTTCTGATATTTATAATTGTATAATAATACAACACTTACAAGGGCCCTTCTGTTGCACTTACATTTGTGACATGCTTTACATGTAATGTAGTATTTTTAAATTCTGATTTGGATTATTTTAGACAAGAATCAGAATACTTCTCCCAGCACTGCTTAAGTATACACACTCACACACACACACACACACACACACACACACACACACACACACACACACACACACACACACACACAACCCTGATCATTTATCTGCTGCGTATTGGGTGATTAGCTCCGGGCTGACAAACAGAAACAGAAAGTGCTTACATTCAGCAAAGACACAATGGCCTCAAGCTATTTCATCAGTAACACTAACAATAAAAGAAGCTTGAGTGTAACCCTTTGTGCACAAAAAGCAGGACCAACACATTTAATGTGTGCATCTCTTAGTTTGGGAGTTTCACACATTCAAAAGTAATTTGGTCCCATCTTGTCAGTCACATTTATCATAACTTCTAAATGTCTTTTCTAATATTTTTGCTTTTTGTAGTGACAATCGTCCCCATGAGATCCTGTGTTCTTGTAGACTACCTCTGGTGTTTTATGGAGTGAAACAATTTATGCTGACAACCAGCCCATCCATTACTGCGCTGACACAGGGGTAGGGATGTCTCTTTGCGGGTTCCACCTCAGTTATTTATGGAGCAAACAGGGATGCAATTCTTGTGTACTAGAGAGGATGGCATTCAGTAGTCCAGGCCTCTGGACTGCAGACATTACACACATACAGTTTAGATGTGCAAGAGTCTCACTTTAAATAGTGCTTCTTAGTAAAATGTTTAGTCAATTTAAGGTTACCAATCAAAAAAATATAAGCCCTAATAAACTAAATCTGTTAGCTGAAGATAAATAGGACGCTTGTGGAAAGTGGAGTTGCTTGTAACAAAATTGTACTTTAATCTACTCCGCAGTATAAAATAGGACCTGGCAGTTACATGGACAATGGCTCTGAGGTAAGACAACTCGTGCTCTCTTACTATCTGTGCATGGCTGGCTGCACACAGCCAATCCCCAGATGGAATCACAGTAATTATTCCGTGACAGTAAAGACAGAGGGCATTGTGGAGCAAACACAGACACATGCATGTATACAATTGATCAAAACTTTAAAATCGTGGTCTGGCTTTGCAAAAATATTTGTTTGCTGGCTTAACAACTCCCTTTGGGAATATTATGCATGCGTTGGTGAGAGTAGCTTTCCACATCAATGGATTCTACTGCCACTGTGAAATGGACTATTCTGACATTTCATCAAGCAGAGAGGCTGTCTGGCTACAGGTGGAAGCATTTGCACTCTGATGGCACAGAGAGGATGTCAATATAGTATTTATTTTTCCAGTGATCACAGAACTCAAATGTCTTTAATATTTAATTTGCTATGTATATATATTTAAAGGCAATAATAAGAATAAGGGTAAGGAACTTGCACTTAAGAGTGTGCTTATTTGTATTGCACAATAATAATGTTTTGGTTCGTCATTGCTGTTATTTGTTATACTTTTCTGATCAATTCATAAGAACTGCAACCATTTAAAAAAATATTGTTTGATGTTTTTATTCAAGTTAATGAATGACTACACCTACCTCCTCCAGAACATCACTCTCAGCTGGCGAGTTCTCCTCCTCCTCCTCCTGCTCCTCTTCCTCAGCATCATTGGGAGCGCTGGCCGCCGTGTCCTCCGCAGAGTCCGGATCGGAGGAGAGCATTCTGCACTTTTCGCATGTCAGAGAGAGATTATAAACTCACTCCTTCTTGCTCCGTTTCTCCCGGGTTGCTCCCCCTTTTTGTGTCCCCTTCAGCCCCACACCGTCTGGGCCGGAGCCAGCAGGCTGCTGCTGCTGCACCGAGCGGGGATCCCTCGGTGGTCCCGCCTGGCCGGACAGAGGGGGGAGGGGTTGAGGGATTTCACCGCATAAAAGGCAGCAGAGGTTGACCATTATGCAGTAAGCGAGGCTTGTTGTCAATGGCCACTTTAAATTATCTAACAAAAATCATACATAACAGAAAACGGCACTGCACAATGTTGACCCAGATGATCCAGATGTCGGTGCGCTGCCCAGTGTCCTGGAGAAGGGAGGAGGATACCGCGAGATATAGAGCTGAGGTATGTGGTAAACCCTGCGCGTTACACGGGATAAATCAGCAAGGACGCATTAACATATTTGCCAACAACCTCAGATACATTGCGTGTGCCTTCCAAGCCTCTAAATATCCTAATAATATTTGGGGAAAATAGGGGGATGTAGAGAAAAGGAAGTCCCTGCGCATTCCTTTCTGTTTATTCGGGCCAAGCTTTTATTGTGAAGGTGGAGTTTGGTGTCACATTAGAAATCGTCCGTGTGGTCTACCGGGAGTTGTGTATTCACGCTGGTAACACGGACCCAACACTGAGCGTTAACTGAAGGTTAGCTACCACAGTTGTGACACATTTTAAAACAACAAAGAGTGCCATATTGTATTGACTCAGTTTGGCTTTGTGTTGGATAATTGTACCTTCAGCTGAGTACGGTTTGATATTTCAAGCTAACGTCAAGCTAACGATAGCTAACGTTAACTGTGCGTGTCGGAACTTAACTAACGTTACACGCGAAAAAAAAAGCAATATCAACTAATGATAGTTAGCGCACGTTAGATATGTGTAATTGATTTGGTTTATTATTAGTGTGTTGCTTTCTGTCCTTTCTTACAATCAGATAACGTTAGTTAGCGATGTGTTGGAGAGCTGACTGTTTGGCTTCACGCGAAAGTATAGACGGACATACATGGATACGGGAAATCAGAATTAGCTCCAACAGTGTAAATGTATTTAACATGATCTTGTGTGTCCTTTAGAGGGATGTTGCGGCGTCCCAAGCCATCCGACTCTGAGGCAGACCTCCTCAGGGAGCAGGAGAAGTTTCTGACCTCTGGTGCTCCGCCTGCTGCCAATGTGGTCCGCAGACCCGACAAGAGGAGAGGCGAGGCTGGAGGAGGAGGAGGAGGGGACTGTAACAGGGAAGATGAAGGAAGACAGAGGGATGTTGTCACCATAGAAGGCAAGAGATGTGTCTGTTTTTTTAGAATAAAAACTCATCGATCAGTTACAGGGTTTTTCTCATGCTCAACATGAGGCTAAGGTGGTATTTAAACAAGCATAAGTTACACCCATCGCTAACCATGGACCATTTATACTAGTATGTAAGATTATTAAATATCGTTTATGTTTCCTCTAGATCTTCCAGACCAACTCCCGTCTCTGACGCCAGCCCCTCCTAAGAAGTCTCGGTTCAAAGCCAGTCGGGTTACTTTCGAGGATGAGGATGCTGAGGAGAGGCTGGACAGACATGACATTCACGTCACTGCTGTTCTCTCCAGAATAGTTGTAAGTACCTGTTGTTGAATGCAAATGCCAAGTATAAACCAGTGACTGTGTGCTTAATAAAGTAGCTTTTTTCCCCCTTGTTGGACCTCTCAAAGTATTTTAGTTATCCAAGTTTGCTGGTATCATGTTAAGCTTGACATAATTGACAGTGTTCTTATTTATTATTTCATCAATGGATCTGTAACATCCCTCTTTGTTTAAGGAGAGAGACACCAGCTCTACACCGATATCTCTGCCAGCATTTACAGGCGTGGCGTTCCCTAAAGTATCGCACCGTTCAGAAACCAGCAGCCAGGTAAGAAAACGTCAATGCCAATTCTTAATAAGGAGTGTGATTCTTACTGTGTAAAGCCATTTTCTTTACGTGCAGAATCTCATATTACCTAAAAAAAATACTTCAAACCTATGAAGATTTACTATTCAAGCTGTGTGTCCATACTCTCATTGTATCGTCATAATAAATCATTCAACTTGATTTTTTAAAATTCATTCATCCGTACGACCAGGTGCCACTGTCTTCCGCTTTTGGAAAGAAGAGTATCTTTGCTCGTCAGATAGCAGCTCAGAGGCTAAAGGAGGGACAGACACCTTTTCATTGTGCACCTGAAGCTGAACACAGAGAGCAGACGCTGCCGCCTGAGACCAGCATGGACACAGGTCAGTGTGGTGCTGCAGATCATCGAGAGTAAATAATTCAATTTCGGATTTGGTCTGCGGTATCTTTTCTCCACAGAACCCCCTCTTCACATTATTTTTGTCTCCCTTTTGTCTTTATCTCCCCTCTCCAGAGCCAACTGCAGTGTCGGGTCCCAGTCTGCTGTCTGGTCGGGGTCTTGGGGGCCCAGATAGCTCAGAAGAAACCACAAGGATCCACAGGGAGAACCAGGCTAAGCTCCAGGCCATGTCTCAGTCGGAGATACTACAGGAGCAGAAGAAACTCTTATCTCAGCTCGGTAGGCAATCATGTTGTCCACATGATGCGTTATTCATATGTAATATACATTGAGATGAAGACATGATATGTGTTGCGCTTGTATAATAACTAGTAAAGTACATTTTGTTGGTACCACTGCATATATAATGCGATTATTTCTGCTTCCCAGATCCCAGACTAGTGGACTTTGTAAAAGCTCGCAAAGCCCAGAGCGTCCCGTCCTCTGCCTCCGCGTCCAAACAACCCCGGGGCAAAAGCAGCAAGGACAACTTTCCTCTTGAAGATGTGAGCAGACAGTCGGCCTCCTCTGGTGCTGCTGTGCTGTTTCAGAAACCCCGAGAAGTAGAGATGGAAAGAGAGGAGGAGGATCTACCAACACCACCTGCTATGACGGGTAAGATGATTTTAAAAATAAACTTTTTATCAAGTCTACCTGGTCTCTGCTGCTGCTGCTGCTGCTGCTGCTGGAGATAAATAAATACATCAACAGCATCAAAGTTATGGGGATGACTATGCTGTTATTTCACACTACTTCTTGCCTCCTTAGACTTGTTTAAATTGCAGTGGTGGAATGCAACAAAGTACATTTACTCAAGTACACATTTGAGGTACTTTACTTGAATATTTCCATATTATGCTTAAGTTTATACTTCTGCGCAACTACGTCTCAGAGGTAAATATTGTACTTTTGACTCCAATGCATTCATCTGACAGCTGTAGTTACATTTCAGATTACCATTTCCCACACACCCTTGTACACGAAAACCACGTATCTCCAAATACATTGACTTTGAATGTGGATGTTTGTGATAAACTAAAGTGTCCCTACATAGGTTGGGTAAACGTCTCCTACTGCTTGAGCTGAATTAACTATTTAAAAACCCTCTTGGATGCATCGTCACGTGTCTGAGCTCATTAGGGATACGTGGTTATCACAGGACAGCGTCGCGACAAATATATGATGATCTTGTTGCTGAGACTATCAGATTATTTTGATTAGTGGTACATCTTAAAGGGAAAAAAGCCCTAAATGTGCCACCATCACACCTGTGTCCGTCTGCCAGCTTTCTCTGCCTCCATCTCCCTCCTGATGTTTCTCACTCACTACTCTCTCCTTCACTCTCTCTCTGCTCTCCCTTTCTCTCAAGGATCCATTCTCTTAATTATACAGTTAATGTGCGACGCTTATGCTGCAAGGCTAAAATCCCGACATAATGCTGAATGCCGACTTCACTTTGTGTGATTAGCAGAGAGGCCAGACTGAGCCAGAAGTAGCCACTCTCTGCAATGAAGTTACTGCAGATCATTCACAGAACGCTCCCAATCCCGATGAAAGTATTGCTAATGGAGCGTATGGAGAACAGAGCTTGCACATCATGTACCATCAATTTTCCAAAATGTGTTATGAACCCGAGCTGCTTTTGTCATTCTGGCCAAAGATGATTTATTAGATGAGTAGAAGGCAACACAGTCATCAAATCTGCATTGATTTATTGCCTTCTCTGCCTCCTTTTTTAGAGAAAACAACTCCTGTTTTTGGGGTTGAGAACAAATAGGAATAGTTTGTGTTTACAGCGGTGCCGCGATGTTGGAGTTGTCACTTTATCTGTGCTGCCTACAACAGACAACAGTTGTACCAATTGTTACAAGAAATCATACATAGCTCCGAGTCTCACTTTTTACCCTTCTGTGTGTCTGTGTGTGAATTCAGAGAAGGACCTGCTGCTGAAGCCTCAGAAGGAATGGCTCCACATGGATAAGCTGGAGCCAGAGAAGCTGGAGTGGATGAGAGACTTGCCGGCACCCAGAAGGAAAGGAACCAAAAAGGTCAGGAGATATTTCTCATGACACCAGCAGATGACATTTTTTATTAATTTCAACTTAAAGCATTAAGTTTTTCTGTGTTGGTTCTGTGTACCGATAGGCCATGCAGGCTCGTTTTGACTTCGCGGGGACCTTGGTTCCACCCACGGAGGATCTGCCCACCCATTTAGGCTTACACCACCATGGAGAGGAGCCCGAGGTCAGTGGACAATAAGTTGTTTTGTTCATACTCATGTTTATTGTAATGAACAAATGTTTATAACACCATCAGATCTATTCTTCATGATTTAATGTAAAAAAGGTGAAGCATCATTGTGAGACTGAAAACCAGATTCATCTCTGAGTTAGAGTTTTAGACCAGGCTCCACGTCTTTTGCTTTGAGATGATTTTTCTCCTAACTTTGAGGATTCCTCTGCAGCGGGCAGGTTACTCCCTGCAGGAACTATTCCTGCTGTCTCGGAGTCAGCTCATCCAGCAGAGGAGTCTGGCCCTCGGCACTCTGGCCAACATCCTCTCAAAGGTACGTAAACAAACGCGCAGTGTAGCTGCAGAGGCACATGTCTGTAGTCACTGAAGTGGCGGATCTTCTGACCCTGTAGGCGCGTGCTGGGGAGTACCTGTCTGTTCTGAAAGGCAGCGTGGTGTCCACTCTGCTCGACGCCGGCCTGCTCTTCCTGCTCCGCTTTGCATTGGACGACGGTGTGGAGGGAGTAATGTCTGCAGCTGTGCATGCGTTGAAAGCCCTCCTTGTGTGTGACGACGATGAAGTAAGACGATCCATTCAAACATGCCGTCTTTTACATGTGATTGTGTCATTTTATCTGCAAATACTACTAAAGTTTGATTAGCAACTGCACAAGTTATCACAAAATATGTCAGAAACCCAGAAGCAAAAACATAATATGTAGAAGAGATAATACACTTTAGTTTTCTGTTACTGTTTTTCTACAAGAGCGTCCCAATGTCTTGTCCCTCATGTTCAAATATCCATTGTTTGTCCTCTCAGGAGTGTTTGGACTGCACCTTCTCGTGGTTTCGTGGCCTGGCCTCCTTCCCTCTGCTGCCGTCTGCTCAGGAGGAGGAAGATGAGGAGGATGAAGGGCTGCCCGAATGTATGAAGGAGACAGCGAAGGAGAAGGAGGAGAGGAAGAGTGATCATGA